AGACAAAACATTTGACAGGAAAGAAAGAGCAAACCACACAAGAGCACCCGCCAATCACACACGCGCGTGCGCAGTCTCTGGCGATATCGTTTACCCTCACAGGGCACGTGCAGAACGTTAAATCTCGGCGCCGCTGTACGGAGTTAAAAAGATAATCACCGAGGTAGACAAACACATGGAAGGCAAAGCATACACAGCCGTAATAAACTAAGCACACGGCATCATAGATCAGCGATGAAAAAAAAAGCAATTCTTTCACCAGTGCACATGCTTCCTGCTTCAGCAGACCGCGAACGACCCCCCCCCCCCACTTCTCCCAACCCCAAAACTGTCAAAAAAATTCAGTCGCGGCGTCGTAAACTGCTGAATATACTTTGCTGTTCGTTTGTTTACTTGCTTGTTTGCAAAGAAAATCATATCGAAACAATAACGGCCAATTGGTGCTGAGAAAAAGTGAGACGGACAGACAGACAGACAGACAGAAACGACAGGGGGAAAGTAAAGAAGTAGGACCTGCCAGTAGAGCGCCCTCCACCCACATGTACTTTGAAATCTGCTGGGTACATACATCCTCTTCACTATCGCCCAGCTTAAATGACCCCCGCCCCTCTTTTTCTCTCCACTTTTTCTCCTCCCCCCCCCAAAAAAAAAACCCACAAAAAAAAACCCACACCCTCGCAGAATACCCCCCCCCCCCCCTCCCCCTTCCCTAGAAGAGCCCAAAGCTAGACGTTCAGAGGGATAGTATAAGAACGTATAGGCCCAAAGCCAAGAATCCAGCTGGTCGTCAGCAGAGCGATAAGAAACAGGGGCCCTTACCCCAGTAACATTTGCCGAGAAGTACATCGGCTTATCTGTCCTTGCCTACGTCATCCCGACTTGGTGCAGCGGCAGATGGCGCCACAAGGTGACCCATGACCTCGTGACCTATGGTTTCTCCCCAACATCTTTGCTCAAACCGTTAGAAACTACGAGAAACTCACGGAATTTAGGGAGATTATCGTGCACTCATGGTATCACAATACACCACCATTTTATAAGGAACTTTAGTTTCTGAAGTAAAAAGAAATTAATTAAAAAAAAAAATAA